ATTCAAAGGATAATCTGCTGCTGCAATGAAATTATTTTCTAGGTCTTATCAAACAACTTTATAAGTGGTTTCAAAAATTACATGGTTTTAATCAATGTTTTTAAAATCGGACTGAATCAGACGGTCAGATCGGAAAATCGAGAATTGGTCATTTGATCGGTTTTATTTAACCCCAAAACCGCTTTTTGGCCAATGATTTGGTCAATAAACCACTGACCTGGGAATGATTTTGGCCATTTTTGTAGGTTGTTTTTATTTTTTTTTATCAGAATGAGCTATTAATTTAGACCGAACAATCGGATCATTTAACCCGGGAACCAGACCCAAACTGGTTCCCTGTCCGGTCTGGTTTTAAAAACTTGGTTTTAAATTAATCATTGACAATGATGAAGGGAAATTTCTTGAACGCACTTGAATTTGGCATTAATATAAGTTTTTTTCTTTTATTTTTGGCCTAGGTAGCGATATATATTATAATATAAGGTGGGCTTTGCCTTTGTCAAAATTAACTTGATTGGATCTTAGAAATGGCTTAGCGAAATTTCTTTGGCCCTCTTGCGGGAGGTTTCAAATATGTTTAAAATGCATATATTCTGCTTCCATTAATGACTTGTCAAGTAACTATAAATGAATCCAAAAGAAGAATATCACCAAAGCTGATGAAAAATTACTTAAAGATTCCGACAAGTAAAACCCAAAACCCTGTAGAGAGAATTGAAGAGAGGGAAAAGGAATTACAATTTTAAACCTTTTCACTTGGTTTAAAAAAACTGAAGAATTGTATAATCAAAGTAAAAATTGTTTTGTTGCATGCTTTTGTAATTTATTCTGATGTATAACCATATACAAGGTTTTCTTACCACACAAAGCTCACATGCACAATTCGAATTTTATATATTCAAAGGGAGATATTCCCAATTCAAGGCTATAAGGGCTGTGAGGATGGATTTTGTTAGGACGAAATCCAAATTTTACATGAATCTCTTCTTCTCATTTCTCACACATATGGTTAGTCATTTTTAAATTAAATCATAGAAAATAAAAAAAAACAACTCTCTAGCCTTAATTGTCTCCAATAAAACCCATCATTATTCTTGCTAATAAGATCCTTCTCTCTCTCTCAATAGTCAATGTTTGCAACATCCCTCCTGTCCCATTAAATCCCAAATTTATATCTATATATTAAAGTAAGGTTGTCCAGGCATAGTTTTTTTAATATTTCCTTTTTATAAATGCTATGAACTCTTACCATTACAATAACAACAATATATCGTCTCAGGTGCTCATGAAATGAAATTTACTAATATGTGACAATGTGAACGCTCATAAATTAAAAAAAAAAAAGAAAAATTTTTAGCTTGGTGCTTTCTAACAAACCTTTAACTTGAAAAAGTGTTACCATGTTGTTAATTTATTTGCATCTGAATTCTTCTCTTAGAAAGTATTACAGTAATAATTCTAATAAATACGGGTTAAATAATAAACTATAAGAGGCCGGCTGCTTGAGATTGAAACGTAAAGTAGTCTTCTAAATTCTAACATCAGAGTCAAAGAACCCATGATAGGCAAGATATTTATGTTCTACCCTTCACTCTAACTTACTCTCTTGGCATAAATTTGTCGTAAACTGAATGATTAATTTACCATACAATATACAAGATGGTATAATAATTGTTAACTATGATAATAAATGGTAATTCTTAAAATTAATAATTTCTATCTATTTTGCCCATTGATTTTACTTTCCGTTATGATGATATGGCTCCATGCAAAATGTCATAACTTTTGACACAAAAATGTTTCGGACACACAACATTTGGACAATTTTATTTGATATAGGCATGCCATGTTGATTTAATTTGATATGGGCACACAACAGATGATTTAGCTTGATATGGCCACACCAAATTTTGCATCCAGTTATGTAGATTGGGTATTGATGAGAATATGAAGAAGGCTATTATTTCGGGTAGGAGTACAAATGGATGATAAGTAGACCCAAATTAATTTGATTTGTTGATGTGATATCATATCTTATCTTACCCATTAATAAAAATGAGAATGGTTCATTGGTCATAAATGCAAGCCATTTTCCTTCAGTTCTGATGACATTCTTTTTAGAAGACAGACTTTATATGCTAAGTAATGAGTTTATTCAATTTATTAGCTGAAAACATATTTCAGTAATTTTGTATGTAAAATTACTGAAATGATTGTTAAAAGAGGTTTTTTTTAGTTAAAATAGGGTTATTTCAATWATTTTGTATGTAAAATAATTTATAAAAGGGTAGAATGGGTATTTGAAAAAAAATAGTACATCAATCTAACGTTTTCAGTCTGGGACAATAATAGAAAGAAAGTTTTTGTTGAATTTCTCAAAAATTCAGATGATATATTTGTTAAAATGAAACTATAGAGGATGTTGTTATGATTGTCAGAAACTCAAGGAAAGATTTTTGTATTTTATCCTTTTGCAGCCCTAATACCAAATAATAAAGAAATAAAAATAGGAAAATGGTCAAAAACAAACGGCCATAAAGTTGAAGTAGTGGAGAAAAGGGGAGATTAATACCCTAAGCTACTATGATGCTAGAAACCCAGACTCTTAATTAACAAATACCATCATTGCTCGAAGAAAGTGAAGCTGAGAAGCGTAGGATTCAAAGTGTAACACCGGGTTATTTTTTATTGACTCAACAGCATTGGCATTCTTTCTCATTTCATTGGGTACCGCTGTCTCAATCGTCAATACAAATCACCACAAAACAAAAGTAGGTAGATGGTGGCTCTTGTCACTGCTCACATCTGCTTCGATAATCATCCAACAAATTCCACCGACTACTCAACACATCGTTCGGTTATTCAGAGAAGGTTGCTAGAATGTGCTTCCTCCATTGTTGCAGCAGATGCAAATTCTAGTGGTAGGCGTTGTATGGTGTCGGAAAATAAGTAAGTTGAATGAAAGGCCTATTTGGCCTATTTCAAAAATAAATAAATGAATCATATTCGACTATGGTATCGGTAATATATGAAATAAATTGGTCAAATCATGTCTTTCCATCAGTTAAAAGGAATTCTGATCACGATCAGGGATGACAATTTTTGGCATAAAATTAGAGCCCTACCTCTGATTTTAAATGGGGCAGATTTTCCCTAATGTTGAACAAAGAGTATGGTGGTGACTAAGAAAATATTTTTGCTCTGAATCAGGATGGGATTTGCATATCATTCCTTGTATTCGCTTCAAATCCAATAGCAAATTACTAAAATTCAAAAATATTCTTGAATTTCTCCCAAATCCTCTAAAATCCCATAATCCTATTTTTAAAATACCCTCAAATTTCTTTAATTCAATTTTTAAATTACTCTAAATTCTCATAATCCATTTTCTAAAATATTTTCAAATTTAACATAATTACTAGTTAATGATCCCGTACTAATTAAGTATGGGGAATTAGTAAGATTAAATTTATATTATGAAATCAATAATGTTAAATTTATATTTATTAATATTTTAAATACTTATTAAAATTTCAGAAAATATTTATTTCAAAAAATAGCTTTTCAATAATTATTAGAATATGGATAGTTTTTTTTTTTTTTTGTTATGATAAGTAGAGGGTTAATGATTAAGTGAAATTGATAAATGTAGGCGAAGTGGTTGTGGATAACCACTTTTGCGTTTTTTGCACTTTTTTTAGGAATGAATTGAAAATGGTGATAGTGGGTTGTGGGATTTAGGAGCAACTTCTCTTAAAATGCCACGTGTCTAGTTTTCCAAAAATGAGAATGTTATGTGTCTGAATGGTGGGGGTGTATAACCTGGTAGTGGGTTGTGGACTTTAGCAAAAATTTCTTAGAAATTGCCACTTGTCTAGCTTTCTAGAATGTGAGAAGGCCACTTGTCTGAATGATAATAGTGGGTTGTGGGCTTTAACTTCTTAGAAAATGCCACGTGTCTAAATTTAAAAAAGCCACGTGTTTGAATGATGAGGTTGTAGCCTAAAAACCTTCTTTTAATATAGGGGATGTTTGAAAGCGTGGACATTTTTTTGAAAAACGGTGCCACATGTGATCCACATAGGCGAGATTCCACAAACAACCACCTACATGACTGTTTGGTTCAAGCGTTTTCTGAAAAAATGGGCATGCATTGTAAATCGCATCCCAACCATTGCATGAAACGTCAAATTTAACATTTCTTGCATCAGTGAACTGTTTCCCCCAACGGTTGAATGATGTAGCACTTACATCCATGTGCGCATACATGAAAAATGATGATTTTCATCACCTTACCAGACAGCAGCATTAGTATTGCTCACTGTCTACGTGACAAACACTATCAAACATATGAAGGTCTTTTTTTATAAAAAACGGGACTAGCAGGCGTAAACGTTTTTTTCTTTTTTTATTTTTTTCTAAAAATCGGTCCCAAAAAACGGGGAAAATTCAAAGATTTCCTATTCTCACGGGGCAATGGGCAAGAGGGGGCCGTGCGAGAGGTGTTCCTCGCAACAATCGCGGTATGTTAGCCATTTCTAATCAAAACTACCAGTTTGGTTATAAGTCTTTCCTGTATGTATCGTAGATTTGAATTCGTATCTGCGCCCCACAAACGCCCTACAGTATATCTCAATCGAATGCGCGCTGAGATGTGCATGTGGGGCATTTGCGGGGCGCAGATGGGATATCCATAGATTTATAGTCCAACCGCAATTAAAGAATTCGGATTTACTCCTCGTACAGTACATAGTACATAGTGCAAATATGTAAAGTACAAATACATACAGAATTTACTCCTTTTTAAACATACCGCGTACCAACCCACGTGACTCGTGAGTAAAATATTTCGATGCCCCGGCCCAACTTGCAAATTCTTGAAATTCGAAACCGAAACCGTTTTGTCCATTGATACCAAAAAAGAAAGCTCTACGTAAATGCAGAAGTGGAGAAGGACGACTGCGTTGGATTTGGAAACGCCGTGAATCGGGAAAAAAAGGTGAAAAGTGAAAACACTTTGGATTTAAGCTGAAAGTATCCAAAAACGCAAGAACCACTTTACGACTCACAATCACAAATCACAACAGTATTAGCAGCAGCATGCCATTGCCAATGCCAATTGCCAATTGCCATTTGCCATTTGCCATTTGCCATCTTTTTCTTATTATTATACAATACTACCGATCTTATGATACTTACCCAGCAATGCCAGACCAGACGAGCAGAGATTGTTATCAAAAGATAGAATAGAAAATAAGTATAGCCTCAAAATCAATCAAATTATATAATCTGACCACTCCGAGATGAACGACGTATGATCCATGGATTCACCCGGAATATCTTCGTGCTTCGCGGGCTGGTCCTTCCCTCCTACAAGCCTCGCCGGGTTCCCCACTGCGGTAGTCCTCGGCGGCACATCCTTCAAAACCAGCGATCCCGCTCCGATTTTCGCTCCCTCCCCGATCTTTATGTTTCCCAGAATCGTCGCCCCCGCCCCGATCAACACCCCATCACCGATCTTCGGATGCCTGTCGCCACTCTCCTTTCCGGTTCCACCCAGCGTCACGTGGTGGAGAATCGAAACGTTGTTTCCGATCACAGCCGTCTCCCCCACAACCAACCCCGTGGCGTGATCGAACAGAACGCCCTTACCGATCTTGGCAGCCGGGTGAATGTCTATGGCGAAGACGTCGGCGATACGGGACTGGAGGGCGAGAGCCAGCGGGCGACGGGATTGGTTCCATAGCTTGTGAGCGACGCGTTGGGCTTGGCAGGCCAGGAAGCCCTTGTAATTCAGGAGGCAGTGAGAGAAGGATGTACAGGCCGGGTCACGCATTCGGGCGGCACGGAGATCCGCCACGGTGGCGGAACGGAGAGAGGGTTCGGTGGAGAAGAAGCTTAGGAAGAGATCATAGAGTAGGGTAGAGAGGAGGGTGGAGGAGCAGAGCTTATTGCCGAGGTGGAAGGAGATGGAGCGAGCGAGAGAGGAGTGAGAGAGGATGGTAGAATAGACATAGCTGGCGAGTGCAGGTTCAGCATCGGCGTCCCGGCGAGCCTCGGCTTTAATCTGGGCCCAAACCCATCCTTCGTCTTCGCATGAATCCATAGATGAAGTGCGGGGTGGGGATGGAGGTTGGTAGCGTATTTCACCGGAAGGCATCTTCGTCGGCGGCGAGTAACAGCGGCAGAATTTAAATTGATTAGGTAGGAAGCAGGAATTAGCGGATACCTGAAAGAGTGGGAAGGGTCTGGAAGTCTCAGAGTCGCCGGGTGACTTATAAGGTTGGGGCCGAAGGCAGTCGTATCCTACACTCTACATCATCATTCTCTTCTCTATTCTAAAATAAATTACCCTCTCTGCGGGTGCAAAATTACGGATGTGAACCTATTAATGGAACAAGTAAAAAAACAGAATTATACAGTTTTTCGTCGACGATGACTTGAGTCATGCACTCATGCTCATTGCTCATGTAACCAAAGAGGCTAAATAGTTGACTTGAACAGGACATCCGGGTTCGGTTTCGGAATGGATCAACCGGACCAACAAGAACAAAGAAGAAAAAAAAAACAAGAGAAAAATGTCAAGCGAGTGAGAGGTGATGGGTAATAATCTGTTGGTTGGCACTTGGATTTATAATCTTTAAGAAGGCCTTGTTGGTTTTTAGGATGTTTTATGAGAAATATTTATCTCGATAAATATATTTATTTATATTATTTTTTGTTTAATTTATCTGGGTAAATATATCTTGTGGGGGTATTTTTGACCATCTTTTATTTACCCTTTATGTGAAAATTTCAACTTATCCGAATTTGAAAAGGCTTAAGAAAATGAACGGGGCCTAAAGAATAAAAAAAAAAAGTGATAATTTTGAATGGCTAACATAACATTTAGAGCTGTGAGTGAGTCGGGTCTGGTCCACTACAGGGTATATATCAGTCTCGAACCGGGTTCCATATGATAGACCTAGAATTGCTCCAATTATTAATAGGGGCAACCAGGTTAGACTGATTATACATGAGATCCCTAATTTACAATTACCTATGATAATAATAATTGAAAATTTTATTTTTAACTATATAACCTTAATAAAAATGTCAGTAAAATAAAATAGTGCATTATTTATATGTATGTTGATAAAATAAATATCTTTAACCCAAATTATCACTATTTATGAAATTTGCACTTTTTAACCAATTAGTCCAATTGGTTCGGGTTTGAATCATTGGAAGGAACTCGTCCTGACCCTGTTGGGACAAAATCACAACACCAGAACCGATATAATCAATTTGATTGGTCGGTTCGGTTCGATTATATTGAATAAATCTGATCCATTGACATATTCAATTCTACGAAGAACGAATTTAGTCAATTGAGCAATAACTCATTGAAAAGTCAAAAACAATCCATAATCTACAAGAAAGAATAATTTTGTGTAAGAAAAATGTACATCATTTTTGGCATATTTGGAAGAACAGAAACAAAAAAAAAAAAAAGTTTGAAAATAAAGAGGATGCCCTCATGCCCCTCAAACTATTTTGGAGAGAGCTTGTAAAACTTTTTCTGAATATTGGGAGCTCTTTGAAAAACCAAATGATAGCAAAAAAAATTAGAATATCATTTCTTGCTTTATTGGATCCCTCCAAAATATGATAAAATCAAAATTAATTTTGATGCTTATCGTGTGGAGGATGGATGGTATATGTTCTCTGGTGGCAATTGCTAGAGACCTCTTGGGCAAAGTCTTGGATTTTAAAAGTTTTATGCTGGGCACTTCTATAAATGAGGCAAAGGCTTGGGCAGCATGGGAAGTTCATAATCTGGCCCTTAACTTCAGCAACCGGCCAATTACTATTCAAGGGGACTCCAAGAGTGTTATTTGCTGTCTCAAAGGGCTGATCTCTCCTTGATGGAATCTTAGGAACACCATTTCGGGATGCTTTCCTAATAGTTTTGTTTCCTTTATGTTTGTAATCCTCCTAAAGAGTAAACAGTAAAGACCTTTATCTTATTTGTTTGAGTGACTTCTGGGCATGGTTTTCGAAATCGGGTCAAATCAGATGGTCAGACCGGAAAAATAGAGAACTGATCAGTCATTTTACCCCAGAACTATTATTTTTCCAAAAATCGTTGATTTGATCAACAAATTGCTGTTTTAAAAACCTTGCTTCTGGAATCCTGCTACCCCCTCGGTCTTGTATAACGCTTCTTTTTCCTATAAAAAAAATAATAATAACAATAATATATATTAAATAATGGATTGAAAAAATGATAAAAAAAGAGAAAAAAAAATAAAGAAAAGATACGAAAGAGAAGTAGATGGGTATGGACCGTATGGCCCCATCCAGGGATTATTAATTTGTGCCCACATATGGTCTAGGTCCACATTCTCTCTCTCTTTGCACTGCAGACTGCAGTTGCGTGGAGCCATCAGCCATCAACCATGCCAAATATCATTTTCACTACCCGGATAAGGAATCCCTCAACACATATAATTATTTAATATTTTAATCAAAGTGGGGCTGATTAACATATAAAATTCATTTATATGGGGACACTGAATACGTAGGATTGATGAGAAAATGAAGTATTGCATTGTATATATTGTATGAAAGAGACAAAAGGCAAGGGTGAAGGTAGAGTTTTGTATAAGGACATAATCAGAAGCTTATGCAGAGATGAAGACAATAGTTTAGGTATAATCAGTTATATTCAATTTAACGGATTATATGCTTCATTCAGGACCCATCCATCTCAAAATCCGGATTGTCAAAATGGAATCTCTTCAAAAACTAAGCTTACTTTTTAATTAGTTTAATATGTGGAATGTAATGTTACTGTTCATAATAAATTAATAAATAATAAAAGAGAATTGTCTGGGACAAGGGATACAAGTGGAACCGTATGATAGTCTAAGCACTTAAAATGGATTACAAATTCAAAGGAGAAGACGCATTGCATGAGGTAAGCGAGAGAATAGAGAACACATAAAAGGTCGCCCTCGCCTAATGTATCTCCAACTTTACCAAATACAAATTCATCCACACCACACACCACACGCCTCAATCAATGAGTTTCCATCTCTTGTACATTTGTGTCCACGTAATATCGCAGTCATACATAAAGAATATTTCAACCTCTTATAATGTGGGCAGGGGATCCGGAGTCTCAATCTAAGTGCCTTCCATTCAATTTTCTGGTCTTCAGTCTTCACCACACAAGCACAAATTTCGTTCTAAGCCCATGGCCCCATGTTTTTTACTCTCTAATTATAAGCGCCTTTCGATTTTTTTTTTTTTTTTTTTTTACCATTTTGTTCCCATTTTTTCTTTGCTCTTCCCCATGTGTTTTACCCTCTCTCTTTTTTATATTTAATACAACACTAACTTTTTTAACATAGATGGTAATAGCAAGATTCGAATCCGCATCTCTGGTGGGGCTATTCATCTCACATGCCAATCGAGCCACCACTCGGTAGAGTATTCCTCATGCTCTATAACTTTTTAATCTTTGCCAATCATCCATTTCCACAATGTTTTAGTCCTATAATTAGTTAAAAAGATTTTTAAGGGTCACCTCGTGAGGCACATCAAGATGGCCATCACAGTGTGGTTTTGGGAACATCAAATGCACCTCTCCATTTTAACCACCAAGTCTAGAGAGTGCAGATCTCTCCATGATTTGTCAAAGTATGGGAGATGTTCCCAATGTACCATTCAAATGTTCTGTGGGGCATGCTCCATGGGGAGCTAATGGGAATTCCCAAATTTAATCCTATTGACATCATCCATTTCAATTTCTGTATAATTATTCTAAAATACCAAACTTGGATTATCTCTTATTATCAATCTTGATTGCATCTGCACTAGTATCACTATTAGGCTCGGTTTGGAAAGAGTATAAATACAAATATGTACAGTACAGCTATAAAGATATACAAAATACAAGGTTTTGCACTCCACTTATTTGTATTATTTGTATTTGTACTCCTAAGCTGATGTCAAGGGTCATTGGGTGGTAGATTGATAAAATCTCAAGCTGAAAATGTGAGACTGAACCCAAGAGCAGTTACTTGGAGCAAAAAATTCGAAGGTTGGATTAGCATTACTCCACTCCTATGAAATCAAAAAGGAACTTACCAATGAACATTTTGCTGCTCTAGGTTTCATTCTGTCAATTCTTACTGATTTTGGACAACAATTTGATTACAAAATTCCTATCATGAACCTTTATGATTTTTTTAGTATATTATGTTTATTATATAAATTTGATAAAATTGTAGACATTTTGTACTTCATGTTATTATTTTATTTTTAATTTTACAATTTTTTTTAATTCCATTTCTATTTAAAAGTTCCAAACTCTTTTCATCATTTGCACAATTTCCCACTCAATTCAGCAATTATATGATGTTTTATTAATTGTTTTCTTCAACTCTTTTATACATTCTTTATCCAACTAAATGCAAAATTTTTCTAGTTGTTTTTTGTCTTCACTATTGTGTTGTCGATGTGGGAGCCACATGGTTGATTTATGCTTTGCTGGTGCAAGTTTTATATGTTTCCAGTATAAATCTGCGAACGAGTATTGTATGTATTCCTATATTATTATTTTGGTTGAAAATAAAATAAATTAAAAGTTGTAACCAAATAGATCAAATTTATTCTCATCCTAACTACAAAAAGATTTCTTTGGTTTATAGCAATCTTATCTCATTCTACCCATTTTTGTCCATTCTAAAATTCATTATTGTAAAAAATGTACAAGAATGAGAATTGAACCAAACATGCCCCTAAATTTCATGTTTATTGTCTGTGCCTTGGGTCCCACTTGGGGAAGCGTGCAAATACAAATACAATAACACGCACAGCTCATGAAAAATAGCAGAATATGTATTTCCATTCTTCCCAAATAGAGCCTTAGACTTTGATATTTGTGGTATTTTTTTGGAGAAGCCCGAATGGAAGTTGTAATTATATAAACATGAGAAAAAGCTTTAACATAAAATCATAAATTACCAGAATATAATGACCTCATCATAGTTCAGAGTTTTTTTTTTTTTTTTTTTTTTGGTAAACCTTTTAGTTCAGAGTTAACATGTTCAGAAATGCAATATTCACGCAAGAGAAGGACAATAATGGATGTTGGTGCCTAATCATCCAACCGGATACATACGTCACTATATACAAGATCTTGCGTGAAGAAGCCAGCATGCATGATCTTTCACTTCAGTTCAGCTGAATGAGATAGAAATAATGGTGATCCACTTTTCTCTGCTTCAGTTATCCTCACATGGAAGAAAGGACCAAATAAGTGAAACTCATCAACTCCATGAAAAAGAACATAGCACGCAGAAGGTAGGAGCAATTAACTTCAATCCATCTGCATCTCTCATCCCACAAGTGGTGATCACTCTACAGCTCAGTCGTGCACGTGAGTCGAATTTCCATCTTGATTCATCAGTTCATTCGCATTCTCTGGTTATCAATTCTCATTTGACTTCTGCGATCATTGTCCTTTCCATCTTCAGTTCGATGACCTTTCCTGTAATTCATCTCTGAGTACATTTCTTCTATCATAGGTTTCCAGAGACGAACCCGTGCATTTATAAACCAATTGGATACCTGAAAGCAGGACCGGAAGCGAAGGAAATAAGAAATAGGCAAATAAACAATGGTGCCAAAAATAGCAAAAAGATAAAAATACAAGCTCTTTCCAAGACAAGTTAAAAATATGAAAAACCTGGCTCCTTGTCAATCCACTTCTGATTGCAAGCAGATGCTTCTCTGCATCCTTTGGATACCTGAAAATCCATAAAATTTGGGATTGAAAATGAATCATTTCAGGCACAAAATCAAGTTGTGTCAACCAAAACCACCAAAAAAGAGAAAAAAAAAATGATCGAGTTGCTACAACCATCCAAGCAGAGAATACAAGGATTGGATAATCCAAGCCTTATCCCATCTATATGGGGTCAGGATATGTTTATGACAGAAATTAACACAGACGCATTAACATTCCTTTTTATATGTTAGAGGATATGTTTAAGATAATCTAGTCCATGGGCATCATAGATTATAAAAACCTGATTTGCATGCATATTTAAACAGTATAACTTGAAAGCAAATTATGTGATACAAATGAGAACATGCAAGCACAGACACATTTTGTTGTATCGATACCAAAACACACATTCACATGGTTCACCGTGAAATGACTGCTAATGCATTTGGGACACACACTCGTAGAATTGTAGTGTGGGAATCAGGTGGAGTTGGGTGAAACTGTCAGGTTAGTGCAACTTGCAACTGTGCAAAGAGCAAGTTAATTTTCACGGCCAGTAACAGAAAAGATGGTCTTCTGTAGTGTAGAAATTCTCTTGACAACAGAGATGGATGCATTACAAGTTTTGTTTAAATAGAATATATAGGTGTGCTTGATGAACAAATACAATAGGATCTCTGCATAATATGATTGAATGTTCTTATTACACATGTTTTCTGAGAAGTGAAAGACTAAATGATACCAATCAACTGATCAGGGTGCTTCAGATGAAGGATATCTCCTTAGCAGTATGTGAATCAATGGCAATGTGAAGATGTGTTATTTATCTATATATGTACATCAACTATGATTCTAGCAAAGGAACTCACGGATGGAGGAAGTTTTGAAACATCCATGCCCGTAAAACTGAGACAGATCTTTCTGGCAAGCCTCTTTGTGGTCTCCATGACTGATGATCTTTTCTTCTTAGCTGCTGCAGAGCGCATTGCTTTTGGAGGAAAGATGATTCAAATGACTTCTCCTCTCCGATGCATCCACTATTGATGTGTTCTCTAGTTGCAAGGATTTGATTGGCAATTCTCTCCCGTAGATTGCTATATAGAAAAGAGATTGTCCGAAGAACAAAACGAGCATGTATCTGAGGGTCCAGCTCAGTTGCAGCATGGAATGCAGATATGACTGTATGAATCTCATCCAAGCATTGGTTGTATCTGTTATCAACCTGAGTTGAACAAAACCACAACCAATTTACCATGTGTGCTACATAGTTTAACCACCTAAAAATAAAATCATAATAGGATATCCGGAAGGTAAATAATGGACAAAAGCATGTTAGATCACATGCCATACCAGAATGGCATGGCTGATGTTGCAGGAGTTGGCTGTGTCTTTCAGAAACGCAACTCCATGTTGCATTGTTCTTTCAATTTTCAAAGTTCTCAAATCATATTATTGGAAATGTCGTTAATTAAGTAAAAAAGTGAATAACCATGACGCGTGCCCACACACACACACACAGTTACATACCACTTGCAATAGAGCCAATAGTTGAGCTTTCTTGGCTTCGGTTTCATCTGACACCTTTGTTTGAACTTCTCTTTCAGATGATAATGGAATTTTTGGCTCAGTTCCAATCCCTACTGTTGAATAGCTCATGCAATCTACATTTTTGAGAGAATAGGTTGCAATTTCAGAAAGTATCTGCTGAGCTACATGGCGATATTTTGATCCAGATACTATCTGTGAAAAGTGAATAGGCATACATGAACCAAAACCCAGAGAAAGCTCCTTCCTCTTTCCATATGCATTCTCTAAACCAAAACCCACTCCCAGCCCATTATGTAAGGATTGCCGTATAATACCTGAGCTGCTTATTTCCGAGCACTGATCTGTGATGGTTGGGACACTGATAATAGATGGTTGGCACATTGCCAGGCTAAGAGATAGCTCATTACCGTGCATAAAGTATCCATATAGGTTATTTACACTGATATTGGACTTGTTAGAGGAAGTCCATACATGTGGGTCCAAGTTTCCCATGAAACTGTGTGGTTGACATACCATTCTAACAGAGGCTTTTGCACTGATCTCCTGAGGACCCAGCAACTTGGTAGAGTCCCATTTACCATCCAGTTGACCAGTCATACTTGCATCTTTTTTGGGATCTATATATGGCACAAAATCATTTCCTCCATTATATCCACAGTTCACAGAGGCTGAAAGAGAGGAATTTGATGTATCACAGCAGCCATTCGAAGCAAATGTTCTCAAATCTTCCAATGAAAATGCTGAGGAAGAGGAAATCATAACCCCGTTGAGATCTTCATGCACACCACCATTTGTTGCCAAAAGGGTAGCTAGTGATGCGGCAGTCAGGGATGCACCTTCCACGAGCTGCCTCTGAAACTCACTGTTATCAATGGACTGAGAACTGACAACTGAAGAATCTCTAATACCAGGTCCACCAAATGGTATATTTCTAGAAATGGAAGAACTAGTGTAAATAACCACTTCATCATTTGTCATATGGAGATCATCCCCAACATCATTTGTTGGCACAGGATACCCAGTCATGATTTGGCTACGGCTGTTAAGAACCAGCGAATTTGGGTGAGAAACCAAACCTGAGAACATATGTGAAGGGATCGCATCTATAACCATAGGATTTTTATCATTAATCTCTAATGAGGTGTTGGGTATGTTATTCTCCATTGTGAAGTGGGACACCAAAGAACTATGGTTCATCATATACAACAATTTCTAAATGGTCCACAGTTCATACCCATAAGTTCAACTCTAAATGTGGACTTGAGATAGTTTACTCCATGCTCCATGAAAGTCAAAGACAGACATAGTGTAATTTTTCATGTTCAGCAAGATACACAGGATCTGGAAAAATGAAAGATCAAACCAATCAGCAAAATTATTTCATGTGCAGTTTCTTACTGTTTTCAGTAGATTTCCTTCCTCCACAATCAGGTTAGATATTTAGGAACTTGTTTCTTGGGCACAGAACTTCAGTTGCTCCTATTGGTTATTTGCCATCCTCAGCTGAATTTATCATTCTTTCATCAGGTAAAAAAGACCCTGAAAATTTATCTCTGTGAGTGGCTCAGAAGAAAAAAGTATTTACACAAGGCATAAAATAACATAAGATTTATCTTACGAGTCTTATAAAAGAAAAATCTCATGACGAATAAAATAAATGGATAAAAGTTTCCGATTTCAGGTAGGAATTCCCCATGGCACGAAGATACCTATGGTTATAATACATGTTAATGTATAGTTGGACTTGACATCTTCCCCTTCATTGTTTTTTTTTTTTTTTTAAATAATCAACATTCAGTTCTTTTTTATTTCATGATTTCGACACTCCTTTTCTGAAAGCCAGAAATACATCAGTGAGAACCATACCTTTGACTCAAAGAATGAAAATGGTGTCAAACCCATGATAATGACGGTGTTAAGCATCATACTTGAACCTTACCCTTTAAAAGTGAATATGCTGCCGGTATGCAAGTGTAACATATACAATTTCTCAGTTTTTCTTGCCCACCTCTGCCCTTAATTTCAGTAACTTTGTGGACCCAAAAGTTCTACAACAACAAACCAAGGACCATTCCCATGTTGAACAAAGATTCAAGTTCCCCACTCTCTCAAATTGAGGACAGTTGCTTCTAAGAGACAACCTTGTAGGGATAATGGTTAATTTGCCTTGATCATATAGAAGTGTTGGCCATGGGTTTTGAAGAACTCAACTTGCAGACAGAGTCTGGTTTCCTCACGAAAGGTTCCATGCAGCATTGCTCCTAAGGAGTCCTACATGTTCAACAGTGAGCAGAGGCCTCATGGACAAGCCATGCTTTCAACTACATAGCACAAAGCTTCTGCTTCCTTTTAGAGGCCTATAAAAAAATCAAGTAAAAGGTCTATGCTAAAACTTAAAAAAAAAAAAAACAAAGCCTATGGAGAATCAGGGCAAAGTTAATAGTAATCTGTGTAACTCCGGATAGTGTCAAGAAGAAAGGAGGACATAGGAAAAGACCAATTCTGCTACATAAATAGGCAAGAAAGACCATCAAGCGTTAGATCCAAGAATATGGTTTCCCAACTAAAAGTAATGATTTATGGGTTTTTTTTCTTTTAAATTTTAATACACACGACTTGTTTGTAAGGCAGTATAAACTTCGAAACAGAAAGTAAACCAAGAAAGAAATTACAGAAAGAACGAGAAATATGTTAAGTGGGAACATTCTGAATTCGTGGCCTTCCAATGCAGAAAAACCAGTTTTTCCGGTTATAAATTTTGAAGCACAGCGTCGCATGCAGTAAAGACAGGACCAAATATGAAGCAGAAACAGAAAGACATCAGATGTAATGAATGGGTTGACAGAATGGATTCAGAACTCTAGCATAGAACTTCAATTGATAGTTTACCTGTTTGAAATAAAAACCTTCAGAGAAAATGTGGAAAATAAACAAAAAATGGTGAAATTATGAAGGTATTAGGAGAACGTTAGAAAACCAACCTCCCATCAATTTGCAGAATCGCTATAGCTAATGGTGAAATGAAATGCCAAAGGCGCAATTTTCTCCACGAAACCTGGCGAGAAACAAAAAAAAATGAAGCTAAGAATTCATCAACTCATAGGTTCACCACCTTCCTGACTAATCACTACTCAAAATGCCTTCCCTGTTCAAAAAAATAAAAATAATAATAATAATAATAATAATAAAAGATCTTTGACACTGATTGACAACAAAAGCAAGTCTCAGAGAGCTCAAAAACAAGAACATGCAGAGAAAAGTTCGGCATGAATCATTGGTTTCCCTTAGTGTCAAAACAGTATAATCAAAAGCAAAGAGAAAGGCTTGTTCTTTTTCTACTTCTTTACCTCTTCTTTTTGATTGTTCAAGAAATTAGGTGGTCTGGTCTCTCTTACCAGAACCCAAAAGCCAAAAAAATGGACTTCGAAAGCACACAGAACTCATCATCTCTACCTATTTCAAACCACATGACCAAAAGCCAATATTAAAAGTGGGTTGTTCACTTTGATTAAATAGAAAATGGATTATGCCCCCGGAACCCAAAACCACATATGATCATCTCTCTCTCAGACAACCAACAAAACGTTAAAGCTCGATGCATCAATGGGTCCTGCGGACAAAAGAATTCCAACTCAGAAGAACCATTAAAACGAAAGAGTTAAAAAGCCACAAGAGTCTTGAGAAGAGAAGTAGAGAACCATGGATTTATTACTTAAGATAGAGAGAAGAAGAGCCATAAAAGAGTGTAAAAACAAGCAGATAAGGAAAAACATTACTCTTGGTGCAGCGCCACTCATTTCTGTTGCAGGCTTTGGAGGGCCCATCTCCTTCTCTCTCCTGTCTCTTCCTGGTATCCCTTGCCTTCCCCCAACTCTCATTATCTGCTTCTCTGCAATCATCACAACCAAAGTATCTGGAATCTCCCTGTTCAAACCGCTGTTCATGGCAGATGTTTACAGCACCAATTTTCAGAGAAAGGCTTTACTTTTTTTTAGCTCTTTTAATTAGAAAACAGGCCAATGCGGTGAGAAAGAAAAAGAGAAGAGAGAAAGTGAGTAGCAGTAACTGTACTTTTGGTAAGGATGAGAAAGAGGGAGATAGAGAGAGAAATGGAGGAATGATGTAAGCAAACACCAAAGATGGCTGAGAAAATCTGGTGAGAAGATCTTTGACGAATTTATTGGAGCAATTACAATTTATAAGCCCCCATCAACTCGTTACTCTCATTTGGACTTGTTTGTACGGTTTAGGTAGTTGGCTAGTTGCCTATGGCTCATCTCTGTCTGAGCCCTGAGGCCAATACTACGCTAGCCTCATAGACCATGATGACAATCCGCAGATCATAATACTGTTACCGTTATGGTTCAACCCGATCCAATCCATCTAAACCCGATCCATCCAGCAGTTTTTTCTTTTTTTTTTTTGTATAAAAATTAGAATCAAGAAACAAAAAACAAAAAAAAAAAAGGATTTATGACAGACACAGCCACCAGTCACACTCTCACTCTCACAGACAAATTACTGCAGACTGTATGAAATGGTCCTTTCGGGTCAGTTTGTCGCATCCAGAAATTCAACCCATCGGATCGTCACTTATTTCAGTCCTTTGTTATTTTCTACAGAAATGCTAAACAGTCCAAGGACCTCTTTCAAATGCACCGATCTCAATCTTAAACCACAAATCTAGATGTTAGAAACGGGACCCAGTTACACTGATAGATGGCCAGGGATCGATTGACACTACCTTCAGATTTGTAAGAGGTACAGGTTTGTATTTCAGTATTTGTAAGGATGTACAGGTTTGCATTTGTAAGAGGCACAGGTTTGTATTTCAGTATTTATAAAGAGCTACAGGTTTTTTTCTCTATCTTTATCTTCATTTCCTAAACTTTTATTTCAAACAAAACACCTCCGTATGCCCATTTATTTGTTGAACGTGAACCCCGATTTCCACCACTTGATACGGTGTGGGCGTGTGGGAAGTTGTACTACACTCTCAATGAGATTCAACCTCCACTCCATATGCATTCTCGTCTCACACGTATAGATGTGGTTTGACGGTAAGATTTGGAGCTCTGATTTCAGGGAAAATTTCAAGTTTTAATTTATATCCAAAATTGAAAATGCGACAATTTAGTATCCGAATTTCCAAAATATAATAATTTAAGTGTATCTATCGTTAATATCAAAATTACCCTTAATATTGAAATACAACAATTTAGTGCAAAACTCATTTAGTACCATCTTAATGAACCCTCGGTTATGTATGTAATCTCATTTACGATTTAATATTTTTGAAAATATCAAAATTACTCTTAAAATAAAACACACTATTCATTATCTTCTTTCGCACTAAAATAAAACAGATCCCCAACTCTTAACAATCTGGACGAAAACCCAATAGTCTGCTTGCCGCTCGCTATCCTCCAAGAGATGCAAAATACCCAAACTTCTGTCAGAGTCCAGATTCTGCTACACCGTATCTAGATGATATATTCCACTCTGACCTGTCCGATCATGTTCACTAATTCAACTAATTCAGACTAATTCAGCCCCAGCTGTAGCTAACTTCCAAGTTTCTGCCCAACCCCTCTCCTCCTCCCACCAGATGTCCATCTTAGCTTACTACTGCTCTCCCTCTCTGCAACTTTAGCTCACTCTCAAACTCATACAACCCAATCTTAATCACCACCATCATCTATTGCTCTCTTTATGTAACTCTTTCAGTTTTTCTTTTTGGCTGATCATGTCTATACGGTGACGTACGATATCCTCATACAATCTGTGCTTTATCTCATTCAACTTTTCAAGCATAGATAAACAAACAAAACCCAGATGATCCACCAGAACTATCTCCCTTTGCTGACCTAAAAGTTGGCGTTTACTGTGATGGATGCCAACGACGAAGACAGCGGTGATGAAGTCGCGATGTGGATGATGATGTTATTGGCTTAAATATGAATAATGTATGCCTCAAACCAGGACTAAATAACCAGCCATGAACATCCCAATACACTTCTACTCTAACTTTATGAATGGCGATGGATTGATTACCTCTGAATTTCCGGTGAAGGTTTTTGACATGGATGGCTAGCTTCCCATCTACCTTTATCTCCATTTCTGGATCGAACCCACCAACACAACTGTTAGTATTGACACTGCTGCTGTTGTTAAATTCTATGGAGATCTCATAATCAAGCCTGCCTTTCTCATGAAATTTTATTTTTGAGGTGAATTTCTTCTTGCCAAATACATTCTCCTTCTTTGATACCAAGCTGGGCTCAATTAGTGCTGGTCGGCACCCTGTCTTTCTGTAGGCATCTTTTTTTAGATCACTGAGAAGCAATACAACCTCATATTTGCAGGCAACGGCCACATAATAAACGGATTGCAGCTCAGTCTCTCCATTGAACTTGACGGCGTTCAGGTCCCAGAAGACGTCAATGGCTTTACCTTCCACCATAATCGCTTGGAACCTTGCTTCCTCCAGAAGTACCATGGTTTGAGCTCAACTTTACCGCGAGACGCAGAGGCCGTGGAGTAACAGATTCTTACATCATGTTACAGTGATCAGACGACACTGGCCGGCAATCTTTGTTCTGTATACTGACAGGAAGACCTTCTGACCTTCCCAAGGTTCTCTGTGATAGTGTGAATATGATCTTCATAGGGTTGGTTTGTACTTATCGGAAATTTTTCCTTTTAATTATTGATATTTTAAAAATAAGAAAAATATGAAAAAAAAAAAAGAAAATTTGACTGTTCAATCTCGAATTAGGGAAGAGGCTAAACAAAAAAAAAAAAGAGCATGATGGGGTATTTTATGGGTACCACGTCCCACACAAGTATAGGAAATCCAGTGTCTTATTAGTTGGAGTATTTTATGGGATACATTGATTAATCAGGTAATTGACCGAGATCCCCACATTTATATCTCCCTATGCTAAATTCCATGGTAAGCAAATTTTTTGGATAATATCAGTTATCCCTCTTGGAGGATGGATAAATTACTTATTCGTGCAGGATAATAATGATCTCTTCCTTCCGCCTCCCTCTATACTTGGGTATAAATTATATCATACAACAAAATACTTTATCCAAACTTAAACAACTTTTGCCTCGAAAGAGATCTGATTTAGTCATCACATACCTATTAGGATCTTTTAATTCTATCCACAAACTGTTCTCACATCTCTATCCTGTGCGTCGAAATTCAAGCGGAGATGTTCCCTATGAAGATAGGGATGCGGGAACAATTTGAGTGCATGCTTACATTCAGGGTTTATTCAATAAACACTGTCATTTCAACAGTTTCGCTCTCTTATTTTTCCATATGTACTCAATGGCAAAAATGGATTTGGTTTTTGTGCATGTCTACCGTTTGAGAAATTTATACTTTAAAGTTCTACAAACGGTTAGGTGTTTTTTCAAAACCTAGTGGTGCTTAATTGTCATAAACATTTATAATTATTACCTTTTTTAGTTTTACAAGCAAATAAAGTACAAACATAAAATAAAAAAACGTAAATGAAACCAAACACATACATTGTCATGGCAGCATATTGCAACTGTGCATTAGAAATGTCTTCATCCTTGTATATTTTCATTTATTGAGAAATATTCCTGATGCACAACCACAATTGACTGTGTGGACTTGGTTTTTGTGTATATTTACCATTTGGGAATGTTATTTTTTAAAGCTTCCACAAACCAAACGGTTAGGCGTTTTTTCACTATTACACTGATATAGAGCCTAGTGATGTCTAATTATCATAAACAATTATAATTATTACCTTTTTCAGTTTTACAAGCAAATAAAATACAAACGTTAAATAAAAAAACGTAAATGAAACCAAACACATACATTGTCATGGCAGCATATTGCAACTGTGCATTAGAAATGTCTTCATCCTTATATACTTTCATTTATTGAGAGATATTCCTAATACACACCCACAATTGACTGTGGACGTTATGAACACAATTCTGTGAGGACCAAATCCGGAAATACTTGCCCGGCTTAAATAAACTCATTTAACCAATTAAGTAAAAACAAACGAGCCTTCACATTATAAGTTTTTTCGAATGAAATATTATTTAATATAATAACTATGTACTTTACACATGACAATAGTGAAAGCATGAAATCATGATGTATTCTACCAAAAAAAGAAGCTCATGATGTAAAAAATCAGGGCTTATTGGGATTGGATTGGAGTGGGTCCATGTTGAATCCATTTTTTTTGTGAGATGGCAAATCTTACTTTAGCAAGTTGGATTTTGGGCTCAGACTCCGACGCTAGCTTTAGATAGAAGGGAGATGTAGGGTGGATATCCATTGCCAATAGTGTTTTTATGTTTTGTTGCTTTTCTTTTTTCCAGTTTGCTTTTCCGTGTGTCCTTCTTGACTGTTGCTTTCGTGATGATATTTGATATTTCATTTCCAACAAAGAAGACAACATTATTACATATCAAAACCCATTATCAAGAAAAACTTTAATAAAAGAAAAATATTTGAAAATTGATCAGGGCACATCACATGATACATCCACGAGATGGAACCACTTAGCGTATATCCTTCTTCGCGAACCACTTAGCGCGTCCCACATGCGCACCACAACATTCCAACCGTGTATGGAAAATATCTCCCATTGACCTGAGATGTGCACTTGGGCCGCAGACGTGAACTCCCAAGATGTTCTATTTCCTATCAGCCTGAGCCTATAACAGTAAAACAACATAGTGTGTTTTCTGTATTCTAAGACATGTAATCTTTTGATCAACGATGTTTTGAGCCCGTTTGTGAGGGATTATGTATTGGTTGAGCTGTGTTGATTGAATGAAGGTTTTTAAAATTGAACCGGACAATGAACCGTTGAGGGTCTGATTCTTGGGTTGAATGATTTGATTGTTCGGATCAGTGGTTTGCTGACTAAATTAATGGTTTTAGTCAAAATGACAGTTTTAAGGTAAAACAGATCAATTCCTGATTTTTCTGGTCTAACCATTCGGTCTGGTCCAGTTTTAAAAACCATGGATTGAATTGCTTTGAAGAAATTAGGAGAAATAATTTTCATGGAAAAATGGATTTTGTGATTCCTGCAAATATAACTCTGACTTTCTAAATTTTAATAAAATATACAACTTCATGGTGTTTTAGGTTTCTCAATTCATAAAATGCACCAGAAGCCACTGTGTGAATGTCCTTTCAAACGGGCACTTTGTAAAAAATGAGGTGTGCCCATATCATTCTGTAAATGGTGGGTTGAGTTGAGCTTATTAAGTTATTCAATAAAATAAAATAAAAATAGTAATATAAAGCCAATTTTAAATAAGTGAAATTAAGCTAAGTCTATAAATTCTCTCTACCAAAATGAAAAGAAAAAAATAACGCCAGTGTTAAATCCAAACAATCCATACAACAGAAGATTCTCTCCATCCATATTGATCACATTTTCACTTCCTTATTCACATTAGACCCATATAACTAATAATAGTTTTCCCACTAAAACATTTGAAAATTTTAATTTAAAAGACAACTAGGAAGAAGAGTTTCCACCTGAAAATTTAAGTTGTCATATGGAAGTTTCCTTGTGGTTTCCACCAAGGTTCTAAATATCAACACGGTAGGGTGTATTGGCATGTGTCGACGCTTTTTTTTTTTATGTTTTACTTATTTTTTTGAAATTGGTTCAGAGGGGCCAATTTAAGGCCCAGTTACCCTCTAAACTAGTGGCTGACCCAATACAATCCCTGTAGGTGCGTATCGGGAAGCCATTGGCACAATATGCATCGGCCGATATAGGTCGATACATGTTGATACTTTGAACCTTGGTTTACACTTTTCTCAGTAAACAATCTAACTAGTAGTAATGCATTTATAAAGGAGATGTGTAAGGGTCCATTTGTTTTATGGGAATAGGGTCTAGATTCAAAATCTAAGGCTATGTTTGGTTCAACTCTCATTTTTCTCATTCTTACCTAAGCTGAAATTCTAAAATGGACAATAATGGATAAAAATGGGTAGATTGAGAAAATATTGCTATGAATCAAATATTTTTTTTTCCTAAAAATTGAATTCTTTTTAAATGGGCAAGCCCCTTAAGTTGCTCATTTTCAGTCTTAAAAAGAATATGTTAGTGAATAAACCACTGGCCTAGGTCTTCAAAATTGTTGGCATAAATGTTTACTAGTGGATGGCCAGCGATCAGTGCCCGTTGGCATAATTTTCCATGGCAATCCACTAATAAACATTTATGGTGGTGGTTTTGTGGACCTAAGCCAACGTTTTTATGGCCATTGGCATAGGGTTTTCTATAAAGAATGAAAATGAACAAGATGGGGCATGATTATTTTTCATGTTGTAAGCTACCTCGAATTTTATGCTATGGACTAATTTTTCAGTCTGAAAAGATTGAGGCTTGTGGCAAGAAGTTTGTAACAAAACTCTCTAATGTTATTCATTATTGCTCGAATGAGCATTAATTAAAAAAAAATGAGGTTCAGAGCAATGAGCCAAACATGACTTAAATGGTAGAGAATTGAAACCCAATATCCATTCCGGTATTGGGATTCTCTCATTTGATGGAATGACCATTCCCCCCTCCCCNCAAAAAAAAAATAAAAATAAATAAAATGAAATCCCTATATGTCGCCCCTCTCCCCAATGAGATCAAATCACACCCACAAGACTGTGCCCCACAACATCCCATTAACATCCCCACCGTGTATTGAAAACATCTATCGATGATAGTACTAGAATGAGGATATCATCATCTAGAAATGCTCCCTATACACGACAGGGATGTGCTATGGGACGTTGTGGGGGGCTGATTTGAACTCCTCTCCAACGGCCGAACCTTGCAACTCCAGTGGGGAAAATGCCAACCAAAGAAAACCAACGATTTCTATAACTTTGGCTAAACCTTTTTTTTTCCTTTTTTCATGTTTTTTCAAGTCTTTATAGGTGAATTGAATATTAAATTCTGTATCTATTTAAAAATTAAAAAAAAAAAAACAAAATTGCAATCCTAGTTGATTCCGATTCTCACTTTCAGATGAACCAACCAACATTAATTGAAATCTGAATCTAATTGCTATCTAAACCAAATAGGCAGGGAAAATAAGATATTCCAATTCCAATTCTGATTCCAACTATGAACCAAATGGACCTTAAATGTCTAAGAGTTAAATGTGTAAAAAACAATAGATCCTCTCTCTATGTGTTAGGTTTTGATAGACATGACAATCCATTTGGTTCACGCGATGTGGATGAGAAAATAGGAATATTTGCCGAATATTCCTTTTCTCTCATATTTGTTTTGAGAGATATGATGCGATGAGATGGGGTTAGTATTCTCAAAATAAGGGACGTGGGGTCTCACCAAATAGGTGTGACCCCAATGAGAAACAAAAGTTGTGCGACGAGTGTGAGAAAATTTTGTCGAGGGTGGATGTTCTCATCTCCCACCTCTATAACGATCCGATTCAACCACCTTATCTTTCATCTTTGGTGAGGTTTACAACTTCCGGTAAGTACTCACATCCCCTTTCATGCTATTTGGTGTTTTGTCCCACCAAAAATACCCTTCTCTTTCCTCCATCAACTTTGATCTCAAATCTCAGACA